AAGTCTTAGGTGATGCAGATTGTCAGCGATTTCCTTCTCCAGCACATGGATAAATACACCTGGAAACACCTACCTACCTATTCTCCCTACCAATCTACTGTATTTCCTCCCCCCTCTATCTACCTACGTACCAACCTACACACTCACTCTCTCTCCCTACCTATCTACCATATTCTCTCTATCTCTCTATCTTTCTATTTCTCTCTCTCTATCCCTCTACCTACCTACCTACCTACACTCTCTCTCTCTCCCTACCTACCTACATACTGCATTTCTCTCTCTTTCTCTCCCTTTACCTACCTATCTACCTACCTACCTACCTAACTACTTTCTCTCTTCCTACCTACCTACTATATTTCTCTCTCTCTCCCTCTCTCCCCCCTCTATTTACCTACCTACTTTTTTAAAAAATTGCCTCTTCAAAACCTTGGTGCGTCTTATACTCCAAAAATATGGTATGGGATTTGATCAAAACTGAGGAGCTTGGCAACATCCTGGGGTTGCCTGTAGATATATATGGAAACTAGGACTCACCACAAAAGGAATTCCGGTGAATAGTCAAATCTAAACATGTTATCATCATCTTCAACATAATTTTCATTTAGCAGCATGTACAACTCCTTTAACTGGAAAAAAGGAGTGGAAGGAAACGATCAATTTATTGAATCCAACAGCTTTCACTTTGCTCTGAATTTGAGCACCTGACTTATCTTAAGAGAAACAGTTGAGCTAGCCAAATCAAACTCATCAATGCACATCAATGAGGAGGATAGGAATTCTGACCATAAGAGGCCTGTTTCATATAAAGACATATACCTAGCTTCACCTGAAACATAAGGCACAATATCTATATCGTTCCATGCACTTGGTTTCAATGTAGCTGAGGTTTAGTTATTTTTTCCACAGCCCATTGTTGGTTGTGCTACTTAGAGGGAATTACTAACTTGAACTCACCCATGCTTTCATGACTGAGAGTAGAATCCAGACCTTCCAGTCCTAGCCCAAGACCTTCACCATTATGCCTCACTGGTTCTCATTCTTAACATAGGCTGATAAGGTCCGGTCAGATCCTGTGACTAAAGGTATTCCTTAGCTATTCGTAGAGTGGGCAAAGTCAGTATATTAGTTTTCAGTGTAAATCCAGAGGATTAAATGTTCTCACTTCTGTTCTGCATCTCAGCTGTTCTGCTCTCACTTCAATTCTGTAGCTCAGCATTTTCCCCTGGGAATTAAAAATTGAGTATTGGGGGGAGGGGGGGAGAAGAGAGGTGGTTTTTTTGCTATTTTCTTCCCCAGAAAAACAAATGGTATCCTAACAAACTGGTCCAAAATAAGACGGAGAACTATGTGGTCAAAATGGGACTTCTGTGTCTGTCCAGTTCATGTCCATTGGCAATTTCATGACACTGGCAGAATGCACAATTATGCACACACAAATACACAAACACGAAACCGGGTTTGTATTTGAAAGACTGCAAGGACCACTTACAATTTCAGCATTGCTCAGATCCAACGTGTCCCAAGTAAAACCCTGCGGTAAAGAATACGGCTCTACACGTATGTTATCCTTATCTGGTTCAATAGCACCATGCGATGTTATAACTTCACCTTAGAGAAAAAGAAGTAAGCTTGTAAGTTTTTAAATCATTTTTTTCTGTTTTCAGAAAAGCAGACGTCCATGGCCAACTTCATTTTATGTCAACTAAATTATCAATAATGTCACTGTATTTTTTCCTAGAGATTTAATTGTATTATAATTATTAATTTTGTCAAGGGAATAGCAATCTCTACAGAATTTCAATACATGTTATGGAACTGTTTACTACCGGCTGCTTCTTTTCTTTGACTGCAATAAACAACTTCTCAAGATGAATCATTTTAGATTGAATTCAGACTCAAACAGCAGATCTAACTTTTCCAATTAAAAAAGGAACTATTTTTAGTAACATACTGGAGGTCTGCTAATTTAAAAATCTCTTCTTTCATATCTCATGCACAACTGTCTAACAGAGGGATTTATAATAAAATAACTATATGGCAGGCTTTCAAAAAACCAACTTTAATTGACTGGATAGTTTTGCAATATGCAATTAGAAATTAATTTTAATGATATATAATTAATCAATGCCCATATTCTCAGAGCAGCTATTACAGTTTAAAGATCCATTTTTTCTTTCCGTTGCTATTTCAAAACTGATCTTATTTTCTCAGATCAGAAGAACAATACAAAGCATAGAAATCAAACCTTGCAAAACTTATTAATGATAACATTTTAAAAAGAAATTCAAAATATAGTAACACAAATATAAGCCTTGCAGAAGTTTGGGGAAACATTTCCGAACCAATTACATTATCTTTCTTATATATAACTGGAACAATTTGGTACACAGATGTCATTTCCTAATCCACAATATGTTCCTGAGTGTTTCTGCTTTTACAAAGAGAAGCAATTGAAATGCAATACAGTCTCCTGGACTATAGATGCCACATGAAAAGCAATTATTATTTATATTAAAGAACAGTTCTGCAGTAAAGCATTTGGAACTCACAAGGAAGTGATGGGCTAGCAAAGCAGAGCCTGCAAACAGCAATAATACAGATATCTTAATATAATATAACTATAAACCTTAATAATAAAATTAAAGCTGCTTCATATTCTTGCTTATTGTCACTTGAAAACAATTTCTTTGATTCTTTTGTATTTTACCAATAATGTTTTTCTAAAGAATTTTTATTGAGGTTTAGGACATAAATTGTCAAGGAATTATAGGTATTATACACTAAATAAATAAATAAAAATTCTTAGAAAATTTGGCATGAAATTATTCAACTCTTTGCTGCTTAAAATCTTATAGTAGTTTTATGTTAAATTTACATAGTAGTTTTTCAAATGGCAATATTCCTGTTAATGATTTGGTGGTAAAGCTTGTTTTCAACTTAATCCTAAAGCTGTTTTGCATTTGAGGTGAGTTTTTGTGAGCTGTAAATTGTTAAAATACAAGCCTCCTTCAATAAACAAAGAACCAATGATGTTTAAATCTGGTCACCAGCAATAAACTTACTAAGCTTGGGTACAGGCTGTGTGTCCCAAAACTGGTATTTGCGTTTTGTTGCTTCATCAATATTCTTGGCTGGCCCCTGGCAGACGGAGAGCAACTCCATAGCTCTTTGAATGTCTTGTAGTTTCTGCATTGGAATGGCTGGATTCTGCAGGTATACAATCACAGGTAAAAGGAGAATGCAACTTCCTTTAATTCTCTCACACCCTGCTGGGTTTACCAAGCTGTTGTGCATTTTTGATATATTACACCTTGTCATCAAAGCTATCCTTAAACAAATCTCACATAAAATAATCTCTGAATGAAAAATAGAGCTATATTTAAAGCAAACAAATATTAATTCCAAGATACATCAATAACTTTTGTATAGAGTATGCAGAGTAATCATATGGCTCATGCTTGGTGCTGTCAAAAAGAAGATGAGGAGTTCTTACTTATATCTCTTTCAGCATTTTCATTGTTCCACTTTTTTCTCTTTGATGCTCTAATCAGAGAAAAGTCTAAGACATTTCACCCAATGAAATTGAATCCTGGCAAAATCAAGGCCTATAAAAAGGTTATTTTTTACTCCCTCGTCCAAATGAACTTTAAAAGTCATTACTGTGAGATGTAGTGCTGGCTACCAGCTTGGTTGCCTATGAGGAACATCATCTGGAAGGTTAGCGTGCTTCTGGGTGGAGTGGGTTGAACACCTTGCTGGACTAGATGTGCTTGAAGTCTGATCGAGCAGGGGCACAACCTATGTTCCTATATTTCCAGTAAGTAACTTTAGAACACCTCAGGCAATTCTATCTGAGACTTCTTATCACCATCTTTTATGTCATGTTTATCCGTGTGAGAGTTCTTGAGCTAGGCCTAAATGGATCTCCCTTCTTCTTTTAGCCTATCTCCTCTCCCCCCTATTAGCTGGATTTTAATTGGGGAAGGAAGTACTAAGGCACAAGACTTTTTCAAAGACCTGGAGGAGCAGCAAAGGCGTCTCATTAAAAAAAAAATATTTGAGGCACCTTTTTTTCCTTTTGTGTACACCAATCTTTTTTCTTTTTTGTTGCTGTTAGGGCTGGATGTGTGTTTTTGTCTGTTTGCTTTTCTGATTGGTACTTTATCTTTTGTGATGAAACAGAATAAATATACCGTACTTAAAATCAGAAAAAGGCAATCTCATTTCCTGCCCATTATTTATATAAGTTGCATCTACCTCTGCTTTGTTATCAATGCAACGCAAAATCCACAGCAGGAAGATATTGAGCTTCCCAACACACCTGAAAACTAATGGGCAGAGAGTTAAAAGTGTATTTAGAGAAGGCTACATTTCAAATGAGTAGTTGGTTCTGCTTTGTTGCTATTAATGTGCTTAGACTAGGGGTGTCAAATTCAAGGCCCAGAGGCCAGATCCGGCCTGTAGATCTGGCCCATGGGGCTGCCCTAAGAACAGTGAAGGACCAGCCTGACTTACTTCTGCCAGCACAAATGGAGCTCAGGAGGGAGGCGTGCAGCCCTCCCAAGCTCTGTTTTCACTGGCAGAGAGTTGCAGGAGGCTGTGGCAGCCAAAAACGGAGCTTGGGAGCCCGTTTCACTCGCAGAGCACTTGGCCATCCAAGGGGCCCCTGACACAAGCTGGCGACCCCCATCTTGGCCATGCCCAGTCTGGACCTTGGAGGTCAAGCACAATCCTGATGCGACCCTCAATAAAATCAAGTTTGACACCCCAGCTTTGAAGTCTAAGGAAAAAAGTTGCACCAAATTGGAAAAAAGAGAAGAAATATGTAACTATGGAATTTAAAAGTTGTTTTCTAGATTACAGGAAATGGCACATTAATTTTGCTCCTATTTTTGTAAAGTGTTGACAATGATACTAGAGCCTTTTTGCAGTTAGAAATTGGAAAAAAGTGAGTTCTAGTCCCTCCTTCAGCACAGAATCAGCTGGGTCTCTCAGCCTTAGGAAGAAGTAAATGGCAACCCACTTCTAAAAAAATCCTTGAAAACTGCAGGGAATCAAACATGATTTAATGGAGAATCAAACATGATTTAATGGAAGGAATAAAAAACAATTACTACCACTGCCACTATTTTAATAACAGCACAGAGATTTGTTATGACCGCCTTCCAAGATGTATTTTTAAATTTTCCAGCCTATTTATAGGCCCAATATTCCCTCGTAATCTTCATTCAAGCACTAACCAAGCTTGACCCTACTTAGTTGCTAAGTCTGAAGAAGATCAGTTATGTTCTGCTACCATAACGTAGTGTGGTACCATAATGTAGTAACGTGGTGAAGATTTTATAATTTCTATACATCATGCATACTAAGAATATTGTAAAATATACCAATCTAGAAATTCTGTGATGTACATAGCATCACAGATTTCTACCTCAATTTTTTCAAAATTAAATGCAGAATATCCAAAANATTGTAAAATATACCAATCTAGAAATTCTGTGATGTACATAGCATCACAGATTTCTACCTCAATTTTTTCAAAATTAAATGCAGAATATCCAAAACACAAATGTTGACATGTCTAAATCTAAAAGAATTTGTACATAACTCTTAGAATCAATGCTGCAGAAAAAGAAAACCTGATAGAACATTATGAATAAGATGCCTGTCTGTTAATGCTATTTTTAATTTTACTGTTTTTATTATAGATTTCATCTTCAATTTAATCCAGTCTGGGACTGGTAAAAACGTAACAGTTCAAGCTCTAACCAAGGACCTAAGAGCTGTTAAGGTAGTGTCTGAGTATATAGGCAGTTCCAAGTAGGGTGGTATTACAACAATAACAATAACAACAGGAAAGCTTCAATGACTATTGAAATAATGGTGTGACATTTACGTATGTTCACTGGGTGCTTAATAAATAAATATATGTAAGAATATATATAATCAGCCATAGAATTATCTTGAAAGTTTCCTCTTCCTCTAAAAGTTGCCTATTCCTCTAAGAGCAAGGATTATTTATCCCAAATATTGAAAAGAAAAAGGAGCATTGACAATTGAAGAGTGGATTTTGAAACTGATAGTGTTGGCAGAAATGGTGAAACTAAATGCACTGCTTAGAGATAATGCTTTGAAGTTTATAAGAGATTGGAAGCCGTTAGTGGAGTTTCTGTGAGTTAATACATTTTTTTACTTTTTACGATCCTGTAATCCCTTTTATCCGGGAGAAATTGGGACAATTGAATGGAGCTGAGCGTTTACTGACCAGATGCCCTTCCTGAAGCCTAAGCATAAGTTCACAGTAGATATTTTCTCTTTGCGCCCTAATAGAGAGACATCTGTTGTTGCTTAGGATTGAACTCTTAACCTTCTGAGTCAGAGGTGAGTGTCTTTACCTCTAGGCCACCCTACCATAATGGGCTATTAATGGAGGGCTTTAAAAAAATTTTTTTGGGGGGGTGGGTGGTTATAGCTAAAAGGTATTGGGTTGATTGGGTAGATTGGGTTGACTTGATTGATATTAGATTTCTATATTTCAGAAACTGTGGTATAAAATAGTAATATACCAAATATATCAAGTATACATGAGAAGCTTTATAATTATTTATAGATCCACTGTAAAAGGGGTTATGCGTGTGTGTGTTTGTGTGAATCTACCAGATTTATTTGAGATATATTTTTAAACAATCAACTAGGGCAGGGGTGTCAAATTCAGTTTCATTGAGGGCCACATCAACATTATGGTTGCCCTCAAAGGGCCAGTTGCATGTAAGGCTATGATGACACAGAGGTCAGGTGGGCATGACTGAATAGGTGTGGCTGAGTGGTCACAGCTGCATCGCCAGGACTAGGTGGGTGTGGCCGGTTCAATGCTGCTCAATGGGCACAGCTGGGTAGGGACATAACAAGTTGCACCGGCTAACTTGACATTGGGGCAATTCAGAGCCCCATTAAGTATGTGTGTGTGTGTGTGTTTGCGCGAGTGTGTGCACAGTGTGCACACACACGCAGCATGCCTAAGGAGATGTTTTTCTCCACATCCCAGTCATTGTTGGCATTTCCCTGGCCAGTGCCCATTCCCAAGCAAAGCAGGAGGCAGAGGACAACACTGCTGTGTTTGGAAGCACAGAGGAGAAAATTTGCAGGAGGCAATTTCCTCCGAGTCCAATTTCTGCCTTGACAGATTTCTGGAGACCAAGAGGAGGAGGCAGGGAGCAGCATTCCCCAGCCCTGCATGAGGGAGGCTGAATGTTTCAAATTGTGTGTGGTAAGAATGCTGGCTTGTTGGGGAAGCCTTCCCTCACACAGCTTCTCCGGCACCCTGCCCTCCTCTACAGAGATCTGTTAAGGCAGAAGTTGGTCTTGGAGGAAACTGTTTCCTGAAAACTTTCTCCTCCACACTTCCACATACAGCAGTCCTCCACCTCCGGTGGGGGACAAGGCTGAAAGGAGGGATCCATTATCCCCAGCAGAGGTGAGACCAGAGTGAGTGCCAAAGCCTAGTTGACCAGAGGAGCTCACCATATCAAGCCACATAGAGGATTCCTGGACAGCAGCACGGGCTGCCTGGAGCCCTGAACAGTGAAGGGTAAGTCCCCAGCCCAACCCTTGAGCTCCCAAGGCATTGGGACCCTGCAGCCCAGCGCCGCGTCCCTAAGGAGTGCTCAGCTGCGTATAGCTCCTCGAAGCTGCTGCTGCTGTGCTCGTTTTCTTTGGTCAGGTTGCTCATGTGGTTGTGAGAGAGCAAAGTGGGTGAGTTAGAGGGAGGCCCATTTCCTTTCTATGTGAGGAGATCCAGCTCTCTAAGCAAAGTATCCTCAACGATAGGATGGAGACCATCAGGAGAAGCCAAGAGAAAAGAGCAAAGGCATGGTGAGAGGGAAGCAGGGCTGCTGGTGGCCAAGTACGAATGGAGAACTTCCCTCAGACCCTTCCTCATTTTCATTTCAGTCTCCCTCCCTCCTTCCCTGCCACCCTCCTTCTCTGCCTCCCTCCTTCTCCTTCTCCTTCCTTCCCTCTCTCACTTCATCCCTCTCTCCACACCCAGTAAGTGATGAGGGGAAGGCGAGAGGGTGGTAGCGCTGCTGGTGGCCATAGCTTTCCCATGCGAGGGCAGGGATAAAGGGCCATTCAAGTCAAAGGCAGCCCCCAAGAATGGAGCACAGTCAGCAAGTACTTCCCTTTCACTGGGATGCCAGTCCCTGTGCACTTGGTGCCTCCTGTGCCTATGCTCACAGGGAGTGCCTGACAGTCTGGGCCGGGGCTGAGGCAGCAGGGGCTGGATCCTTGCAGTCTCCAGGGCAGCCCCACAGGCCAGATCTAACCATGCTGTGGGCCAGATCTGGCCTGCGGGCCTTGAATTTGACGTGTCTCAACTAGGATGAATGGTATATGTTTAATGTTGACTCTATATGTACTGTGCGCACATTTTTATTATTTCTTTTTTCTCTGTAATTTTCTTTGGTTTTTATTGTCTTTGTAGTTGCTTATTTTATATGTAGCATCTTATCTTTGAAATAAATACAAAAAAAGGTAAATAAAAAATTCTAAAACAATTATTTTTTTTAATCAAATTTAGTAAGAATCAGTAAGAGAAAAAAGTTCTAAAACTGCAACTTCTATGTGAATAGTCTGTTCTGATTTGTTAAAAATATTGGATTGCGCCAATACAAATAATTGATGCAATTTGAATTTCCAAGATGATTTGATTTCAGTCATTAATTTGAATATATACATTGGGTTAGTCCACAAATCTGATTTCATTTAAAAACATATTTCTGTGGTCACTAATTGCTAGAGTAAATCAGGGATAAGAAAACAAAGGCCAATCTCTCACTTTTGAAGGTTGCTGATTTTTAATCTCCTGGGAGTCCGAAGCAGAGTCTGATTTGGTACCTCCGGAATTTGTTTTTTCCTTTTTTCGTTTCTGCTTCTTTTTCTTCTTTTTAGCTCCCAAATCTCCTCCTGGACTTCTGCAAAAAATAAGAAGAGAACAATTTGCTGTAAGCCTTGAAAAGAGGAAGTAACCCATAAACAACCTGCAAATGATGTATAGCCCCATTTTTGCAGTGCTGGTATTCTGCAAGACTAGAGAGCCAAAATCTGATGCAATATTATTGATGTAGAGCTGCTTACTTTGTGTATATGCAGAAGTAAAGGTGTATGTATTTAAAGGAAGGGGTAAAAATTATGCATCCATTTTGTCGTAAAACACACCACCTTCCAATTTCAAAAGAAGAAATTAAAAAGACAATTCTTCAACTTCCTATGCCCTGCCCTGCTCCCTTCCCTGCCCCCCTCCATATCAACAAGTCACTTTTGCAACAGACAAATGATTAAAGAAGTAAAAGTAAAGAGCAGACTGGAGGAAAGCGGCCATTTATGAATTAAAAGATAACAGCAGAAATTCACTACCGTGTTTTCCCCAAAATTACGACATGTCCTGATAATAAGACCATGCCATATTTTTCCTGTGGGCAAAAATATATGCCCTCCCCCAATAATAAGCCCCCTGGACAACCCCCCTTCCAGCCAGGCAGAGTGCCACTCACCAACCTAGCGATATGCGGAAGGCGCAAAGCCGCAGGAGCCAGGGGGAGGGGGGGCAAAGGCGCTCACATTGCTTGATGCCTTTGGGATACCGCTAGGTTGGTGGGTGGCGCTGTGCCCAGCTGGAGCAGGGGTTGCCAGGCAGCTGCTCTCACAAGCAGCTGTCCGGCAATGCCTCTTTCCAGCCGGGCAGAGCGCCACTCAACGACCCAGTAATATCCCAAAGGCGCTAAACCGCATGGCACTCTGCCCGGCTGGAAAGAGAGGTTGCATGAGCACTTGTTCTGCCTCCAGCTCGCGTGCCTCCCTGTCTCACCATGCCCAATTCTCCCTGCAGGGCTGGGCCAGAGCACCGCTGCCACTCTGCTACCATGTTCCAAGCATAACCGGCTTCCAAACTCCGGAGATCCACTGCCGAGTCTTCCGGCAGCGGCCGCTCTGGGACTATGCTCTATGGTTGTGGGCTAGCTGTTGGAAGACTCTGGTGGGACAGAGAGTCTTCCCGCAGCCAGCCCACAATCATAGAGCATAGTCCCAGAGCGGCCGCTGCTGGAAGACTCAGTAGCGGATCTCCGGAGTTGGAAGCTGGTTATTCTCGGAGTATGGTGACGGTGGCAGTGCCCTGGCCCAGCCCTGCAGGGAGAGTTGGGCATGGTGAGGCAGGGAGGCACGCGAGCTGGAGGCAGAACAAGTGCTTGCGCAACCTCTTTCCAGCCAGGGAGAGCACCACGTGGCTTAGCACCTTTGAGATATTGGTGAATGACGCTCTGCCCGCTGGAAAGGGCCGTTGCCAGGCGGCTGCTCATCAGTGTGATCACCTCATGGATACTTTGTTGCGCTGCTGCGACAGCGCAACACAGACATTTGCCCCTGAGGCTGTGCCAGGCTTTTCGGGTGCCCGCTTGCAGGAGAGTAGCCACCCGGCAACCCCAAACCAATAAGCCCTCTCCCCCGGTAATAAGGCCCAAGCAAAATTTGGGGGGTGGTCAAAAGAAAATAAGACCCTGTCTTATTTTCGGGGAAACGCGGTACTGTGCAAACATCTTTTCACATAATGTTTGCTTTTTATTGTTTTGAACTGTACTCTGGCCAAACTGTTTGGCAAATGGGTGGCTTAGAAATCAAAGAAAGAGATTAATTAATTAATCAATTCAGGGCAACATGTGCTCCCAAGCCTATTTTCCTGAGAATATACATGTATCAAAATGTCCAAAGAAGAAAGGGGTACTCATGTTAAAACTAGAAACATTCTGAAATTACTTTCCCAGAAACACCCCAAAAACGTGTGTTTACTTATTTGAAATTGCATTTCATCACAGAGATTTGGCTGAGAGATCATATGTAAATAAAAAATTAATGGGATCTCATGTTAAAAGGGAACATAAATAGGAGAGGGAATACTACCCTTTTCTAATCCATTCTTTCCTATTGGTACCCTATTCCTGTGCAAGCATTAAAAGGAACACAACTCAGAAACTTTGCATTCTCTTTGCACCTTCATTTTAAATTTGAGAAGAAAAGTACCTAGTTTGGCATAAAAATAGTAGAAAAAATGGTAAGGTCCAACTTTTCTTGACATACAGGTAGTCCTCAACTTACAACCATTTGTTTAGTGACCATTCAAATTTACAACAGCACTGAATAAAGTGACTTGAAGCCATTTTTCACACTTATGGGAGCACCATACCCACAGTCCCATGATAGAATTCGGACAGTGGCAACCGGCTCATATTTATGATAGTTGCATGTCCTGGAATCATGTGATCATCTTTTGTGACCTTCTGACAAGCAATTTAAATGGGGAAGTTAGATTTATGTTACTAACTTAAGAACTGCAGTGATTCACTTAACTGTGGCAAGAAAGGTCATAAAATGGAGCAAACCTCACTTAACAACTATGTTGCTTGGCAACATAAATTTTAGCTCCATTGTAGTCATAAGTCAAAGACTATCTCTATTTAGGGTATGGAAAGGGTCCAGATAATCAGTTTCCTCCAGGACCCCTTGAAGCTACTAATATCAATAACATAATATTGATTATCTTATCAATAATCTTACATAAAAAGGGAAGGTTTGAGACTGGATGGAAATTGTCCAGATCTGTCGATCCAGTGTTAGCTTCCCAAGTTTCTTTCAGAGCTGATGGAATCATCTCATCTCCGTCACATAGTGTAATCCATTTCAAGATCAAACCATGTGGTAAGAGTTGGCTCTAAATTTTAGTTGACCACAATAACAGATCAAGGGTTTCTGTTGTGGCCCAGCAGGAGCCACTGGAGCTGCAAACAGACTCCAACAATGAGGGGCCTTATGAATCGGCTCTGGAAGATGTGGAGGACCCCAGACAGGGTTCCAACTCCGAGCAGGGATCAGAGAGACTGGTTGGCCACCAGGAGGCGCCTGAGGCATGGAGCAGCGGTGAAAGCCAAAGGGAGTGTGCTTCTGATGTCAGGCCTTGGAGCAGTGGCAAGGAGACAAGGGAGGTGGTCCTGGATGCCCGGCAATGACGGGCAGATCGATGTAGAGAACAGCTACGCAGATACAAAAGATAAATGGATCCAGGTGGTTGTAATTAGGCTCCTCTCAAGATAGTATTTAAGGAGAGACTCTGGGAGGAGTCTGGTTTGCAGGATTCAACTTAATTCTCAATGCTGGAGAAGCTATTATCTGTATCTGTCGAAGTCTGGGTTGCTGCCAAGGTTCTTTATCTGTTCGTTGTGTTTGGGCTTGCAGCAACCAAGATTTATGTTTCCTGCTAATAAAGAGTTGTGGCATTCCACCTAAGCTTGTCTCGGCATTCGTTACTGGACGGAGGAGGGGGTCAGAACAGGTTTCTATCCCTATGACTCTACCTCAGTCAAACCCCATCAAAATTGCCCTCAGATTTGTCAAGTTAAGAATGTTACAATTAGTAACAGTCCTTGCCCACATGGAGCCATACAAGCACAATTTTTCTTCAGCTGATCCCTTATGATATGATTATTAAGAGAAAGGGATGTGATAGCCGGTAGGAAAGGAGCTACTCAGAATAGTCTTGAATTGAGATTTGGGCGGAAAATAAATTTGATAAATATACAACTGAATAAAATAAAAATAGGATGCTGATTTAACATAATATTTTATCCATATTATTTTCAATGAGATATGTTGTTGATCATGTTCTTGTGTTATGGTTTTGGTTTAAGTGATAGATATTAATCTTGCTGTAGGCAATGTAAAAGCACACGAAGCAAATGATTAAAAGCACTTAAAAGAAATGGAAATGTTTGGGATGTTCTGTCTTCCTTGCTATTATTATTTTTCTTATGAATTTCTTTTTTATGACTGTTAATCTGCCAAGTTATTTATTATCATAAAAAAGTAAAGATTAGTTAATCATGTGCCCATCTCACTGTTGCTAAATTTGCTGACAGTAACTGACATACTGAACATATTATTTTGACAGTTTGTCAGTGTGGCTGATCTATTTCCTTAGCTGGGTCTCCTCCATGTATTTATGTTGCTCAAGAAATGTGGACAAATGCCTTAACAAATAGTCCTGTGCGTTCACACGCAAGAATCCTACATAATTATCCTTTGCCCATTTTGGGCAATGTGGCTTTTTACCCACATTTTACTGTTGCTTGAAAAAAAAGGGGGGGGGAATCAATTTAATGTTTATTTTAATATTGAACTTTCTGTTTTCATTTGCTTATCCTTTCTGGATTTCTTTTTTAATTCTTTATGACCTGTTGGTGTAGAGGAGAGCATCCAAGGAAAACGTTTACTTTTAATTAAATGATGAATTTCCCCGCCTCACTATACCAAATAACAAGGATTGGTGAACAGGAAGTTCTACAGCAGCCATTTTGCCAAATTTGCTGGTGGTCAAAAAAAATTTAAACTAATAATTTGTAATATACTATTAAAAGAGTCAGTTTGGTCTAATGTTTAAGGCATAGTGCTAGAAACCAGGGGACTGTGAGTTCTAGTCAGGCCTTAGGCATGAAAGCCATCTGGGGGACTTTTGAGTCAGTCATTCTCTCTCAGCTCAAAATGCCAAGCACAGGCGACAAGCCAGTTTGTCAATCCTTGTCACAACCAATGGATCGACACTGTGCTGATCTAAAAAAAAGCATAACTTGCAATTGTAGGAAAATGCTAGGAAAAAAAACCAGTTAAAATTAAACAGATCAGGATAGAATATGTACTAACAAAGCCCTATATAAGCTGTAAACAGAATAAAAGGGTAATAACTACTGCACATGAAATTACATTTAGGACAGGGAAATATGGTTGAAGATATATTAATACATCTGTATTTATAAATCTTTCATTTCTGGTATAGATATTACTGTATTTTTTATTTGTGTTAAATTTTCATTTTGTCTTCATGATGGGAGTAAATATAACTATGCAATATTCTGTTGCATAAATGAACATG